AGTCCAGTTGCCATGACTCAACCTCCAGATAATTCCACCTGGATGAATGAGAATCTTCATCAACATCCAGAATCAAATAACATTCAGAAGTGACTCAGGCAAATGCCTCCTAATTTACTGAATTATAAGAAGAAGTTACAGCACAAACAGACTTGCAAGATACTGGTATTATAGCAATATCAATAAAAGTAGTTTTAGCCTTTCTTTGGAATTGACTTTCTGTTCTGGTCTATGTTGTGGGACTCACATTGTCTGATCAGCATTTCATCCTCCCTCCCTCTTCCTTCCTCTTCCCCTCCATTTCCCACAAGTATTCAGTACATTTCATTTTAGTTGAGTTAGGTCTAAACTTATTAAATAAGTCACATGCAGCTGTCCTTCAACCCTTTCTTGATACTGAGCTCACAATGAATGTAAGTTGCGGTATTCAACCCAGCAATCCATGTTAAATCCTGTATCAGCTATATTGTTGCCCATGATAGTAAATTTACATATGTTGATATTTGGGAACATTAGGAAATTCCAATAGAAGATAATATCTGTAGCTCAGGATTGAACTGTGGAGTCCTTGGTGCTCTCTGAGCTCGGTTGTTTGCTTGCAAACGTTTCATTACCTGACTAGGTAACATCATCAGTGCCAGTGAGGGTGGGGTTTGCTCTCTGTTTATATGATAAATATGATAAATAAAATCTACAAATAGCTTGCCCTGCCAGTGTTGGTGGGGGTGAGGTTTTCTCCTTGGTAGTTCCTTGATTAGGGTATTGTTCTCTGCTTCATTGTTTGTCTGTTGTTAATTCCTGCTTATTTGGGTGTTGGTTGCTGGACAGGATGTGTTCTGGTCTTTTGGTTTCCTTCTTAGCTTTTTTTATTGTCTCTTTTGAAAGATGTGTAAATGTGGTTAATCTCTCTGTGTCTGTTGATGGTTGATTTATCTGACTGCCAAGCTTTCAGGTATTCCCTAGTGTTTTTGAAATTAGATTGGTCTAGGATGCTGACAGTTTCCCAGTTGAAACTATGGTTGAGTCTGTCCATGTGTTGTGAGATTAAGGAGTTTTCATTGTGTCTTCTGACTGCTAGTTGGTATTTATGGATGTGCTCTGCTAGTCTTTGTTTTTGAAATTAGATTGGTCTAGGATGCTGACAGTTTCCCAGTTGAAACTATGGTTGAGTCTGTCCATGTGTTGTGAGATTAAGGAGTTTTCATTGTGTCTTCTGACTGCTAGTTGGTATTTATGGATGTGCTCTGCTAGTCTTCTGCCTGAGGCTTGGCATTCAGACAAATCTGCTAAATGCATGTATGCTGTACAGGGCTCTCAGACATATATAGATGGATCCAACTGTATCCATTGGATGGATAAACTGAGAGTAAGCTGTGATTTCTTTCTTTCTATTCTCTGTGGTTGTATAATGTTGGGATAGTGTTTTTAGGAAAGCCTATATTGTGGAGTCCTTGGGGTTCTTTGAGCTTGGTGTTTTCCTGCAGGTGTTTCATTACCCATCTAGGTAACATCTTCAGTGCTAGAAGGAAGTGGGATTTGCTTTCTGATTATATACAGCAGCTTGCCCTGTCAGTGTTAGTGGG